CCTCAGTGATTAGAATAGGGTTTTGGAATCGTCGCCATGAGCTGTACTTGGATGTTAGAAGGGGATGCCATTACTACTTACTCCGACTCCTTAGTTGCTAGGGCTTCTGCTTTGGATTTTTCAGGCTTCCAGGGCTGTGGGTCTCAAGCTGGATAGTCAATAGGGTTTAGGGGCTTAGGTTGGTAGTGAGCTCTTACACGTTATCCGGGCGGCTCTTTAGGAGGCTTATCCTCCCTAATTTTACCGTTAATGTCGGGGTGTTTTAGACCGGTTAAGGGTCAAATCCTGCCGGCTAAGGGTCAAATCCTAGACCGGTTAAGGGTCAACTCTGCCACGGTTAAGGGTCAAATCCTGGACCGGTTAAGGGTCAAATCCACCACGGTTGAGGGTCAAATCCTGGACCGGTTAGGGTCAAATCTGCCACGGCTAAGGGTCAAATCCTGGACCGTCAAATTTGCCACGGTTAAGGGTCAAATCCTGGACTCAAATCCTGGACCGGTTAAGGGTCAAATCTGCCACGGTTAGGGGTCAAATCCTGGACCGGTTAAGGGTCAAATCTGCCACCGTTAAGGGTCAAATCCTGGACCGGTTAAGAGTCAAATCTGCCACGGTTAAGGGTCAAATCCTGGACCAGATTCGCATAAAGAGAACGTGTCAGAGCACAGTTCCAAGGCTTAGGGTTTAGGGATTTAGGGTTTAGGGTTGATTTAGAGCTGAACCTTACAATGCTTGTATTTCCGTTAGGCAGGTGTTATCCGCCTTGTCTTGAAGGAGGATGCAGGGGAATTCCTGTTCACCAGCTTTGAAAACGATAAACTCTAAACCCTAAACCCTAAACCCAACGTGGACTCTAGATCCTTGAGACTCGAAACCCTACAAGCCTGTCCCTTCCGGAGCGTACGCCATAGAGTGAGGCAGATGGAGTGAGGCAGATCAGATCCTAGGGATGCCGCCCTCTTGATTCCTGTGCGACACTCTGAACCCTAAACCCTACTTGGAATCCTACAAACTACACAACAAGCCTTCCGTCCAGGCTCTAAGCCCCAGTGCACGCCCCAAGCCCTACGTCCTAAAACCTATCATATACCTTACACCCCGAACGGTTTCTAAACTGCACTAAAATCTATCGTATCCCTTACACCACGGACGGTTTCTAAACCGCCAGAAACAAAGCTCAAGCTGTAATGTAATCAAGCCCCTGGGAGTGATCTGTGCGTTAGTGATAAGGGTTTGAGGTTTAGGGTTTAGGATAAGGGTTTGAGGTCTGGAGTGCCGGAGGGGCCGAAAAAGTATGGCGATGTAGCCCGACCGGGTGAAGTGTGAAGGCTCCTTTCAAGACTAATGCTAGAAACCCCAGATGATATGCATGCTTTGCACGCAGCTTCGATTCCGCCCGAAAGCCAGTCATAAACCATAAACGATGAATCGCAGAACCCCAGTGCAGAATGCATGTCCGACACCTCGAAACACCGTCGAAACACCGTAAAGCTTGAGTGAGCCTGAAAGCACAAAGTCAACCGATAATTATCTCTGATCCCTAGCAGCAAAAAAAGCCCTAAAGCCGAAAACACGATTGCGCACCTTGAACCTCCAAACTCCATGTATCTTACTCTAAACCCTGAGCGCTATATTCCCTATGCCTGGGTCCTGAAAGCCTAAGCCCCTGTAACCCCTGAACAGGGATGAGGCCGCGAACCGCGTTCGACAAAAACCTTCGGGAAATGGAGCGCTGACAGAGCACGTTGTGAGGTCCTCCGGCAAAAGCCTTTGATTGTGTTTTCGGGATGTTTCGCATTCTTGTTGGTGTAGAGCTTTAGGGCTTAGAGCTTGTAGGGTTTAGGGTTTTAGGCTTTAGAGGTTTTAGGGCTTAGAGCCTGTAGGGTTTAGGGTCAGTTTCATGTATATTTGGAGAGCCGTAGAGTTGGCATGGGAGTTACTAACAGTTCTTTGAGGTGATCAGAAGGTTTTCACGGGTCGTCATCGGTGGTGATACTGTCTTTTTTAGTGGCTTCTCTACGACATGTGGTTGTTTCAGTATAAAAAAATCCTCGAACCCTACCTCACTGCCCGACTTGAGCCCAAGGCGTCATCCTTCCCCCAGCCCCTGCCGACGGCCAATCCCAATCCTTTCATCTGAATTTTCAAGCAACGATCATTAAACCTTAACTCCTGAACACCTAGCTTGCTTTAAACCTCAGCCCTAAGACCTCTGGAATCCAGGCTCTGCCGCGACTCCGGCTGCTCTTTGTCCGCCTTGGCGCCTACCCTTTCTCGAAGATGACTGGCCGAACTCCGAGCAGAAACTTCTGAGGGGTTTCAAGGGAATCCAGGAGCTTGCAGCTTTTCTTTAGCCAGCCATGTGGGCATCGAGGCGCACACGTTGGCGGTGACATCGCCCGAGAATGGCAATGGCACGGTGGAAGAGCTCCGGAGATTGTAGCTTCGTGCAGCGAAGCATCGCTGACAATTCTCAAGGTGGGCAAGTCTCAACAGCTGCCCGCATGGACCTTCTGCACACTGAGACCTCGATCTTCTCGGTGTCACAGCAAAGCAGGTGAGGATAAGCGGCTTGTTCTTGATTGTGGTCAGCCCCGTATCTTCAACTATCAACCGCTCTCCATCCTTTCATCCCCCTAAACTCTAAACCATAAGCCCCATTGCCGAAACCATAATCGAATTGATCTTGAGGCCGAAGGCCCCAACCAATGCGATACTGCGCCTTCGAGAAAAGATATCCGCGTCATTCGGGACCAGGTTTGCAGCTTGGGGCTTTCTTTACATTAGTGTATGTAGGGTTTAGGGTTTGGGGTTTGCCGTGGAATAGAGCGTAGGCGATGATATCTTGCGACAAGGTTGTGTCGAGTGCGTCGTACTGTGGCGAGGAGCTGGGAAAGCCTGTCTGCAGAAGGCTTTTCCTTTTTTCTTTCCCACCCCACGCCGTATAAGGTGGCCAAGCCACCCAAACTTATTCCTTTTACGGTTAGGCCTAAACTCATGCCAGGAAAATTCCTGCTACACAGAATCCACAGCAGCAAGGCAGCAGCATGGGGCAGGGCACAGGGCTTGGGCCTAGTGCAGGGCAGGGCAGGAGCAGGGGCAGGGGCAGGCAGGGCAGGGAAGGGCAGGGCAAGGCCCCGGCTCGCTTGTGGGGGCCGAAATGGTCGCGGGCGCTCCAAAACTCAACCTTGGAGTTTGGGGTAATTAAGGGACCAGTACTGCTGCCAAGAAGAACGTGTTCCGGAACCGGATACGACGTGGGTGCTATGGTCCCCAGGCTGTGCAGAGGCGTACTGGTGGGCCTTTCGGGATTGATGGTGGGGCGCCGCCCATGCACAGTAGGTGGGCGGCCTAGTTTAGAGCCCCATGATGGACGTTCTGTGACTCCGGGATTCAACTCAACGATTCCATGTTTGGTCGGGGGTGGGGTTTTAGTTTCCACGGCTTGAGATTTCATATAGAGGCCTGAATGGCTTCAAAGCACTGTGTATTATTACCCCTAAACCCTAAACCTTAAACCCTATTCCAATTAGTAAGGCCCCGGGAATCTCCAAAGCCCCCCTGGAAACCTTCCCAAACCCTTCGAGATACTATAGAAGCCATAATAGTTACTTATATTATGCCTGAGGGGTCCTTACTATCATTGTAGTTTTGCATACCCCACAACCTTAGTCTAAGTATTACAGTAAGGCCCTTACACTACCCTTGAAGGAATCCTACTCTCATGATTACGGCCCCGAACGATTCTTGGATTCCAAACGCCCTTTTCTGTAAAGGCCCCCCGATACAAGGATCCCGTTTCGAACCATTCTAAGGTACAGGGGGGGGTATAAATCAGGGGTCTACAGTCTTCTAAAGGGCTTTGGTTTCGGGCGAATGCGAATGATCGTGTGGCTAAAGCTTCTATTCCCTTCGAAGCCGCGGATGAGGCATTGTGTATATGTCTTGGCGAGAGTGTATGGGGCTCCTTTGTTGAAAATCGGTGAGTGCATGTTTTGGGGTGTATTAAACAGATGCAAGCACTGAAACCCGTAATACACGTTGTTTATCGAGAATATCACCCTAAAGCTCTTAATCATCGAAATCTCACATACCAATATGAAGCATCTCATGTTCTTGGAAGCCGGGAAGCTTAGACCTGAGGCCCGTAAACCACGAAACCCTTAGATCCTGCAACCGGCAACAAATCTTGCAGAGACAACCTCGCTGGATCGACAGAAAACCCCCAATGCGCGTTGGACGACGAGCAGAATACGTCTTCACCAACAGCAACAGCAACCAGAGCAATCAGTCAGAGTACGACGCAGAATGATCGGCTAGAGACTGTCCCATAAACCCTCAACCACTAAAACTAAAACCACTACGGCCCCTTATCCGGAGCCTTCTAGAACCCTTGAAGGCTCTAGAACCCCTCCAGACCCAGACCCTTCGGACACCAAAACCTTCTGGGGCCTCTGCAAGGAGCACCCAGAAAGATCTAGCTGCGCAACATGGCTTAAATCGTACTATGGAGCCCTATTAGACATTAAGGCATGTCATACCGTAAACAGTTTCAGGTACATTGTGCATTTAAGGGACATTGGGCTCGCTGTGTCTTTCGATGCTTGCAACGGCAGATCCCGGCTCGAATGTTATCAGAAGTCTCCCTGCAGTTTAGGATTTAGGGTTCCGCAGATGGCATGGACTCTTTCAGCAAGGCTGATGAGCGGGGAGGCAGCCTCGGTACGCATTCCGCCAGACAGCCTCATCGAGGACTTAGGGTCAAAGAGATCGAAAGCCTCTCATTCAGAGAAACACCCTAAGCCCTAAACCCCAAAACCTAAACCCTAAACCCTAACAAACCCTAAGCCATAATTGCCAGGATCTGAGGAAGTTGGCCCAGATAGAGCTGAAGAAGTCCCTGAAGGCAGCTGGGATGTTTGCAGTTTCGGGTTTAGGGTCGAGTAGGGAGTTTTTGGGCGTTTAGTGGTTTCGGGGGTTTGGAGTTTAGGGTTCCGCATGGATGGCGCCCAGGCAGTGACGAGTTCCACCACCGTCCTGGACCCCTCTTCCACGATTCAAGCGGCCGGGTTGAAGGATGGCGATGAAGTTGGCGTCATCACGGCACCGAAGTGCCTTGGCTATGTTCAGACTTCGTTTGTAGGGGCTTCGTGGCCTTCGTTGTTGGGTTCCACAAGGTGCTTGTGACGTCTGCTCGAGACGGGTCTTTACCGTTCGAGCTTGCTGCTTTTGTGAAGCAGTGCGTTGTAAGCGGTGTTGCGCAATTGCCAAAGTCGGGTTTCTCTCATTGCCAAAAACACTGCACCGCCGTCATCGTCACCAGCATGTTCATCATCATCGTCACTGCCATTGTCATCCCGCTTTATCATCGTCATCCTTCATGACCATCGTCATAACCATCATCATAACCATCATCATAATCATCCTCATAGTCATCATCATAACCATCATCCTCATCGTCATCATCGTCATCCTCATCGTGCTTATACCAATGGGTCTTGGAACGGAGTTGCTGTGTTGCAGATCTGGTGTCCAGTGACTCGGATCTGGGTTTTAGGATTTGGATTCGGGCTTCTTCAGGGTTGAGGTTTAGAATTTAGGGTTGGGGTTTAGGGTTTAGGATTTAGGGCTTGGGTTTAGGGTTTCAGGGGCACCATTCCTTGGCAACATAGAGGCTCCTGCTTCGTCTTAGGGTTGGCCTGCAGATCCATTTCAAGGACGAAAGCTCCGCACCCTAAGATCCGCGCCATTCTTAACCCAAAAGATGAGCCCAACAGGGCTGTTGTTGGTACAGGTCGTATGAGCGATTACCATGAGGCCCTGATTAGTAAACGATAAAGACGAAAATGAGTTCACATGTGTCATCCTTGGAAAGAAACAAGGGTGATCTTTGAAAATGTTTAGTGCAATACCGATAGTAATGTGGATCTACATGTACATGGAGGCGGAGGGTAGACAAATGAGCTCAATCAAAGCCCCAAACCAGCGACATTTCCCTTTCGTTTTCAGATCTGAGGCCTACTTCCACCCCTAAACCTCAGACCCTGAGGACGAAGCTTCGTGCACACAAGTTCGGCTTTGGCTTTGCCGCCATTATGCCAGACGGCACAGTGGAGGTGTGGGGTCACGACCTTTTTCTTGGCAACTCGCGTTTCGATGAGGCGATGGTTCAGGGTTCAGGGTTTAGGGCTCAACCTAAACCCTAAACCGTCTCAGGGCTCAGGGCTTGGGGCGTAGACTGTGGGGATTTAGGGCATTACAAGGTAGGTATTCCGATCGCCTTCAGGGCACAAGTAGTCCCTCTATGTGGTCGCTACCGTGCTAGCTTAGGAGGGCTGGGTCGCTTGTACGGTAGGCTTGTTAGGGTTTAGGGTTTAGGGCTTGTACTTAGGGAAGTGTAATTACCATGATTTGCTAGCTGGCGCCCTTCGAGTGGGGCGTGGGCTTTTGTTTTTCTCCATAAACCCTGAACCTGAAAACCTCGAGGACCCAGAACCCTAAAAATCTAAACCTTAAGCCCTAAACCCGCAACCTTCAAACCCTAAACCTTAAGCCCGCAACTTTCAAACCCGAAACCCGAAACCGACCCTAAACCCTAAACCCGAAACCTTCAAACCCTAAACCCTAAACCCGCAACTTTCAAACCCTAACTAAACCCTAAACCCTCGAACCCTGAAAGCCCTCCCACCCCTAAGTTGGCAGGCTGAGCAGAAGGACGTGCTGGATGTCTTTCTTACGGAAACGGCAGTGGCCGCGCTTCGAGCTGATGGCACTGCGGCTCGGTAGCCGAAAGAGCAAGCTCAAAAAGTACCAAGGTCCCTAAACCCTAAACTCTAAACTCTAAGATCCCCGAGCCCTAAACCCTAAATAAAGGGTCGACTTGAAAGAATCACCTAGCTCGTCTTTCAGGGCTCCTTTCTTCAATTCTCCTGTTTGATAGTCCCAAAAGCCGTTTTCGAAGTGAGAAGGACCCGATATTAGGGTTCATGGCATTGGGTTTCCGTGCTGAGGATTCTTGGGTTTCGGGGCTCAGCTTCCGTGGGGCTTAGAGCTCTCGAAATTTTCCCAAAGGGTCCAAGTAATAGTCTAGTAAATACTTTGGGGGCCCCAATCACCTACTAAGGACCTACGCTTTGGGTTTGTAGTGTTTAGGGTCTGAAGTGTTTCAGGGATGGTACTAGGGCTTGAGGGTTAGAGATCATTTCAAGCATAGGCATAAGCTGTTGAAACCTACTTACACGCCTCATAAAATTCACGTTCAGGTGCTTCTAAGTAAAGTTCAGTATACCAGACAAAAATGACCTACTTCAGTAGGATAGTACTCGCATGGTGTGGCGTTCTAACCACCATACTCCGCTGCACAGTCAAGAACTCCGCACCTAAAGCTGTGTTCCCCCAAGAAACCAGACAGTGAAGGTTATTACCTGTGGCTCCGCCACAGACGGTGGTGATAGCAGCAGCGTCAAGGACCTGTTGAAAGGCATCATACACGTGGAAGCCACCCAGAGTCTGGGCTCCTTTTGAATATCTCACTTTAACAGAGTTACTACTTATAAGAGCACTAGTACTGATAACAACAAATACGATCAGTAACAATAACGAAAACCGTAGTGAATATGACGAGTTGCCAGTCAAAAATAGAGCAACTGCTATAATATTCCTCATGTTGGCAACTTATGTTAACCATGCTAGGTTCCTCAGTAGTGCCCTTTTTTGGGGGGCTCTCCTTCTTAGAACCGAACACAGGAAAAAGGGTACCGTTATCATTACGGCATTAAGGGGCTACTGGAGGACGAAGTTCCCTGAACAAGAAGAGCCGAGGAGTGCGTTCGCGGCGCTGCGAGCAGATGGCACAGTGGTGTGTTGGGGCTCTCCCAGTTTCTTGGGCTCTTGCTAAGGACATTTGTTTACGCTAATCATAGAAGCGGCCTACCGCAAATACTATGGTTTCCTTGTTATGGAAACTTAAGCAGTTGAAGCTAACATAGTAAGGCCTGTAGCAATACTAAGGCTTCCTTATCATGGAACTTAGATGAACTTAGTTTAAGCTGACAGAATGGGGGTCCATAGCGAAGATTATGCTTTTCTTATGATGGAACTTAGATGAACCTAGTTTAAGCTAACAGAATAATAGGGACTCAAGGTTCTCCTTATTATGGTAGCTGAAATTCCTTGAAAAAGAACCGAGGTTCCGGTGGAGACTGCGGCTCAGTGCAGAATCTGCTCGCAGACGTGCGACGAATCTACAAATCTCGGAGTGCTTTTGCAGCCGTGACGGGAAGCGGTGCTGTGATCCTGGACACTTGTTGAGGAGCCTGTTTGATTCAAGCTACTGGGGTGACGAAGCTATCGTGTGTACTTTACAATTTATAACCTTGATATGGAAACTCAACGTTCGATGCCCACAACAAGAGCTCAGGATCACGTGGGGTGATGCCGATTGTGGCGGCGACAGCAGCTCGGTCAAAGACCTGCTTGCTGATGTCCGAGACTCGGTACCTACTTGGGATCATTTTGAACCGTCTTTTTCCACTGTAGCCCTAAACCCTAAGAGCCTGACAGAGAGGCCCTAAACCCTAAGAGCATCACAGACCAGAGAAGCCCGACCATAAAAGCAGAGTTGAGGGCTGTTGAAATCGATTCGTCTAGGCGAGATTTCGGCGACCATGTCGGCCTTCGCAGCCGTCACGGCCAAGGGCGCAGTCATCTCGTGGGGATGCTCCGAAGAGGGTGGAGACCTTAGTGATTCTTAGTTTTGGTTTTCAGATGGCCTTTGGTCATGGAGGGGAGCTGTACGGAGAAGCATGTGACCTCAATACAGGTTATCTTGGGCGTCGTTTTTATCCCTCAAAGAGCGCTGAGGTGGAGACAGCAGCCTTGTGCAGCAGAAGCTACGAGGTGCATCACGGATTGCAAACTCCTTAAGGAACCCCAAACCTTTAGACGCCCTAAACGGCGCGGAAGCTTGCTCGATGTCCTCTGCCCAAGAAAGTCTACTCTGAACGATTGGGTGTGGAAGACCCCACACACAGAAACTAACCGAACCCTTACAAAACCCCAAGCCCTTATCAACCCTGAACCCTTTACACACTCCAACACCTAAACCTGCCTAAACCCTAAATCCGTCCAAACCCCAAGCCAGCAGAAACCTCAAAGCAAGTGCAAACCGAAAGCCGCAAAATTCCATAGATCCCCAAAATTCCATAGATCCCCAAAAAAGAAACCTTACAAGGAGATCCCCAGACACCAAAAAAAAGCTTTAGGCGTCTCGCGGGTTGCTGCATCGAAGCGCGCCTTTGCGGCGATCCGAAACGACGGCTCCGTGGTTACCTGGGGAGATCCTGAGCACGGCGGAGACAGCACTGGAGCCTTGCTGCGAGGTATATAGGTCTGGGGGTTCTAGGGTTTAGGGGCTAGGGTTTAGGGATGAGGGTTTGTAGGGTTTGGGGTTTGGGGTTTAGGGGTTATGTAACAATACTCTCAAAAGAGCCCTCACACTCCCTTTAAAGATGGGTTATTACATGGGGGTTTAGACGGTTTAGGGTTTAGGGGACAGCAATGGAGTTTAGGAGTCCAGGTTCTTCAGGTTGAGGGTGTTAGAAACTTTCGGGTGGGTATGTGACTTTTTTGCCTTAAATAAGGCTCCTAATTGCGCCTATGTAGTTATGTAATGTAGTTTAGGGTCAAGAAGTATATACTACTGGAGTCCAGGTATATACTTTGGATTTCTTTGGCCTTTTCGGGTTGGGGGAAAGAGAGAGAGCACTGAGATGTACATTGGCTTGAAACTCGGCTCCTTTTTTCGGTACTTCAGGGCCAGAAGTGCATACTACTGGAGTCTAGGCTCTTCCGTTCGATGGAATTCGGGCCCAGGCTTCAGCGTTTTCAGGCCTTCGGCTGCAGGGTTTTCTATCAGGGGCCTTCTAGGGCCTTGGAGTTCACGGATTAGGGTTGAGGGTGCTGGGGTTGCTACCCTAAACCCTAAACCCTAAAACACAAAAAAAAGGCCCCTTAAGTGCAGAACCTAGGAGTTCACGAGCGATTGATGGGGGTCCGCAGCATCACGGCATCCAAAGCGGCCTTTGCAGCGACCACGGTTCAGTGCACCATCGATGCTACGGAGACCAGGCTCTTGTTAAAGGGTTTAGGGTTTAGGGGTTTAGGGTTAAGTTAAGGGAGTTAATTTAAGTTACCATTATAAAGAAACCATATTATTTACTATAGATCCCTATTATGATAACTTAGATTAAATCCCTTAACAAGAACCCAGGAGACAGGGCTGAATATGGCGGTGAAGACTGGGGTGGTGACCTGGGGCGATCCCGACAAGGGAGGGCAGAGCGGCGCTGCCAGTGACCAGCTTGTAGATGTCCGACAAATTGCCTGCACTGGGCTGCTGGCTTGACAAGCGAAAGACTTTTCCGATTCATGCCAAACAAACAGAGCCAAGAGTTTAGGAGCACAGTCGGGCTATACTTGAGCTGCATGTATCTAGATAGGTAGGTAGGCAGGCAGGCAGGTCTAAAACGTGTTGCAATAACATAGACCACCATGCTCTGTCGTCTGTTATCAACGACAACTAAGCAAGTGAAACATGTATACATATACGTTTAAAGCAACTGCATCATGCGTACTCTATCTCCACTGGTAAGCATACTCCTAAGCCCCAAAACCCTAAACCCTAAACCCCAAACCCTACTCCTACCGCCTGAACGAATTCTTTCAAGGTATGCCTTTGCCGCCCTCCGCAGTGACGGGCGAGTCGTTGTTTGGGGCTCCGCGCGTCACGGTGGGGATGCCAGCGCCGTTCAGGAGGATCTGGTCGATGTGAAGGAGTCTCGGCTTCTGTATATTATATGGTATATATGTATTGTGTGCTATATATATATATAGAGTATGTATGCTATATTATCTATGGTGTATAGTATATATTATATGAGTATCGAAGCCGAAATCATCACCGACATTATTCCTCAGGTTTCTTTATTATGACTTGACTAGAAATTGTAAACAGGGGCCCAAAATCCCACTCTAATCGTTATGGCCCCTACAGTAGCTGCGTATATAAACAAGACGGAGTTTGCTGACCGTGCCTGTGTTCGTGGCATGTGTAGTCAGACAGGTAGATAAATAGGTAGATAGACCGACTTCTAGACAAAGAGAGCGAGAGAGTGAGAGTGAGAGGGAGACGGAGAGGGAGAGTCAGAGTGAGAGTGTGAAAGAGAGAGAGAGAGAGAGAGAGAGTGAGAGAGCGAGAGACACGGAGAGAGCGAGAGAGAGAGAGAGAGAGAGCTTCGATTTGAGTTCATGCGCCCAGACACATACTTGTGTACTTGTTCCTGCCAATGGGAACTAAAGGCATTCACCTTTCCGGCGGCAAGCTAATTTACTTCGGTTCATACGCATGAGGATTTAATTCATCTGCGGTTGACTCTCCTGCAATCCCTGCAATATTTTCCGTGACCATGTGCTCGTCCAGGTTCTATTGCTAATGTACACCAAACAAAGAAGCAACCTTGCCAACCCCATACCTAGACCCATGCGCCTAAACCCTCATTTATGGAGAGCCAAAATCACTAAATCGGTCCTGAAATCCTAAACCCCAAACCCACGCCTAACCCCTCATTTATGGAGACCCTAAACCCTAAACTCTCCTAAATCACTTAAATCGGGTGCTGAAATGAGGAGCTGTATGCCAGTCAGTCGTCCTTTGCTGCCTTGCGGGGCGACGGCCGTGCCACTTGCTTAAGTTCTTACCTTAGAGGCTTAGGGTCGGGTTAGGGGTGAGTGTTGGGGTTTAGAGTTCAGATTTTGGGGGTTAGAATTCAGATTTTGGGGTTTAGAGTTCAGATTTGGGGATTTAGAGCTCGATTTTGGGGGTTTCGGGGCTTAGGCAGTTCTTTTGGGCCTGCAGGAAGTGATTCCCCCCACGCCCAAGAGCCTAAAACGCGGAACCTTGGACTCCAAAAGTTGAAAGTTCCGAAGACTGGGCTCTTGTTAGGGTTTAGGGTTTAGGGTTTAGGGTTGAGGGTTCCGAAGACTGGGATTTACTTTAAGTTGCCGTAATAAGCAAAGCATATTATTTGCTATAGAACGCCATAAAATCCGTTAACAAGAATCCAGAAGATGTGGAGTACGTCTTTTGAGCACTGGAACGACGGGTCCCGCGATAGTGAGGGAAACTAAAACTCAGGGGGGTGCTTTTCTGTGTGTGCGGGTCCCCTTTGGCCTTAGGTATCCCTTCAGCAGTTAACGAGTTGCGGAAGGTTTGGATTATGTGCAGGGTTTACTGTGTTTCTAAGCAGTCTTCAGAAGGTGCGTAGAAGGTAAGGCTTGTATACGGATGTTCTCTTAAGGCACATATGCATGTGTGTAAGTGTATGTACACGTGTATTCAGGTGTATAGTATGGTGTATGCCTATGTATAGCCAAATGCACAAAAAAGAAACATATACACACACGGTGCACAATGCAAACAGATGCATTCCTGGAAGAGATCCACGCGTTTGAATACACCCACAATTTCTAAACCGAAAGCACGTTGCTTTGTAGGTTATTACGTGGGGCCATGAAGACGATGGCTGTGACGACCCCCAGCTGCAGAAGGAACTTGTCAACATTGAGCAGGTGCCTTGGGCTGAAGTAGAAGTGTGAGTAATTACGAAAATAATGATGGTAATGAAAGTTCCCCCAAGAAACTCTAAATCCCTTGTACCCACGCGCACTCCTCAACCTATTACGGCAGTGTGGGTCCTCAAGTGTAATAGCCTTCAGTTAAATCTGAATGTCTCTGGGTTCTGGCCGAAGGTTGCCTATGCTGCTATTATTTTGGGCGGCTTCCTTGTTATAGTTCTAGCACAATGTCTGTACTTCAAAGAACCCTATTCTACTTATTAAGGCCCCTGCACTTATTGTAATTCTAGCATAGTTGTACCTCAAAAACCTATTCTACTTCTGAAGGCCCCTACATTACTGGGCCGAACAGGATCCCTACCAGGCGAGGCAGTTCGAAGGAGGAGGGTTGCTAGTGATCCGTAAGGGATCCTGCCACAAGGTTAGCCCCAAACTCTGCAATACCCCTAAGCAAGGATTCCAGAGACAGTTTCGGCAATCTCTTCAACTGCCGAGTACTAGAGCACAAGTTTGAGGGCTTGAGAATTGGGTTCAGGGATCCCCGCGTTCAGGGAGTCAGAGAGCTTCAGGATTTCTGTGCACAAGCTCTGAAACGAGTTAGTGCGGTTAGAATCTGCCGAAACTCCTATCGAAGGCGACAAACTGAGATCCTCAACCCCCCAGCCCGGAGGACCTCAAACCCCTGATCCTCTACGCCCTATGACTACTGAAGTGTACGGAATGCGTACTAATCGTCGTGTCATGCCCTCATAGTGCCTGTATAGCTATATACCATAACACAACCCCCGACAATCCCGTAACCCTGCTCTAACTGAAAGTGATATGGAAAGCCACGCAAGCCTCCAAGATAGCTCTCAGGGACTTGGGTAGAACTATACAGCCCATATGTTGCCCATAAGGAGCTCCCCCATTAGGGGCTTTTGTAAGCAAAGGAAGGATCTGACTGTGAATCACGGTAATCTTAAGATTTCTGGACCTGCTCTTGGGGTTTAGGGTTCAGGGTTGAGGGTTTAGGGTCGGGGGTTGAGGGTTCAGGGCTTAGGGCGGGCCTTATACCAAGACGGAGATCTGCAAGACAAGGGTTCCTTATTGTCCAACCGTATTATGTATAGGATGAGGCTGTGGCACCCTTTACCAAAAATGAACGAGTCGAGTCTTGTCAGGCAGTGCTTCAACTCTATATCCTCACAGTATACTGTTTTCTATACGTATACTTCCGTGGGTTTCTGTTCTTTAGTTCAAGGTCTCCACGAGGAACTCAGGTGTGTGCTTCCAAGCTGTCTTTGGCAGCGGTCCGCTCCGACGGAGAACTGGTAACTTGGGGAGATCCTGAGTATGGCGGCCACCGCACCGTAGATCTGTCTTCACGTATTTTGCCTTCGCCGTTTTGAGGCTTCATGGGACCATGATTACATTACTTCTATAGACCTGCTCATATCTACCCCAGAATGTCGAAGTAGGTGCATGTTGCAGCTGTTTTGCCGACATTTTGGGTGTAACTGAGAAACCGAGGGTTCATGCTCGTATTGCTGGAGCCCATAGAATAGGCTTAGTTTGGGTTTAGAGTATCAGATGCCAGGGTTTAGGGTAGAAGCAGAAGCTTGATTGCTCCCTGGCTCAAAAAAAACAAAAGAACGATCACTGCTTAGACGCGTTCGCGTTGCCGAATGTCGCAGCAGCTAAGCTACGAAAGTTTCACCTCCGGCTCCTGAGCTTCCAAAGCTGCGGCGGCGGCCAAAACTTCCTCCTTTAGGGTTTAGGGTTTAGGGTCGTAGTCTTGGCGGTTTAGGGCTTATGGCTCAGGGCCTTGGGTTCAAGATTCCGAAGCCCTCTTATAACCTCATAGCTTAACAGTTATAACATGTAGATTCCCCTAGGAAACCGGACCAAATATTGAACATGATGGCAGATTGTGGGGCTGTCACTGGTGCATAGAAGTTCGTCAGCTCCAATGTCCCAAAACCGTAAGCCGGGAAGCCCTAAACCCTAAACCTCACTGTCACCGACCCCTGAGTCTCTCTGTTCCTGCATGCAACACTCGCACTTTGCAGAATCCTTATAGCAAAAGAAACAGCTGAAAGCTGTTTAGGGCCTAGGGTTTAGCCTGGAAGTGTTCAGAACCTTCATTGCGGCCCTTCTAGGACCCTGTTAGGCGATTCTTTTAAGATCAACCCGAAGCCTCGGCTCCCTTCTTCGTGGGTTCCCCCCACCAGACCATCTAGCTTTTAGGGTTTAGGAAAGTAGGGTTTAGGAGTTTAGGGTTTAGGGTTTAGGAAGTTAGGGTTTAGGGTTTAAGGCTGTGTAGTGCGGAGTTACTCCCTCTCAGAGGAAGGGGGTTGGGAGTCCATCTAAACCCTACCTTGTCGGGGCTATCGGGGCTTTAGGGAATCTGGGCTTGAGCCCATTCGATATCATTGCAATAGCATAGGGGCCTGAGAATCCGGGTAAGGTGTTCTAAGGGTTGTGTATGGACCCCCAAAGGATTTTGTGGCACATTCTCATGTGACGATTCTGCATAAAGGGACATATCGTAGCAGGCCCGCGACGGAAGGCAAGACTCCATCTTTAAGCCGAACCCCCAACTGCACAAACCTGAACACCGGAACGCCTTGAAACCTTTAAATCGTAGCAGCTCCACCTGTCCGCCCCCGCCACCCATCATATCAGAACCCTAACCCCAGACTGTCGACACAGGGCATTGAGCCCAGAAAGATTTACTACGGGGCTTACGTACAGTTCATTGAATAACATGAGGGTTTCAGCACATTGAGTTTTTCAGGGATAACGCAACTGTGCTAAGGCCCAGGCAAAGGTCCAGATGTGCATGTTTGCAGCCTTTTTTCCGCTTGTCTTGAGCCCCAGACTCCACAAAGACCAGCAGACCCTGCCTTAGCACAGAACCGCATGCCCTCAAGCCAAAATCCTAACCCTTACCCTCAAAGGACTCATATCTGAAGGCTTATGGGCCCAAAGACCCTATTATATAAGGCTTTTGGGCTATTTTGATGCTAAGGGTAAGAAACCAAAACCTGGTTTAGGGTTTGGGACCAACATGCAAAGCGCCAGAAACCCCGACCAGGATACACCACGAAGCAGAAACCCCAAACTCGGTGCGGACCCCTTGCAGACAGCTTCCCGACAACAAAAGCTTCCCAAGCCCTAAGCCCAAAGAGCTTACAACCCCCGAAGCCATGCGCAAGCGCTGGCAGCCGGAAGCCATGCCCAATGCCGCGCTGAAGCCTGCAGAGACACCCAGGAGGGTAGCAGCCTGGCCCCTTTCAGCGGCTTCACTCTTCGGGGTTCTAGGCTTTTGCAGATTGGAGGTTGGGGGTTAATTAACACTAAAGTCGCTAAGAGCCCTAAGCTCCAAAAGCCCTAAAGCCCTGGCCTTACCTTCAGGTTGACAGATGGTCCAGCCTGTATTTCCCCCGTATCTTTAGTTGCTTTTGGAGGAGTTCAGGGTCATACTGGGGGAATATCGGGGCCTTAATAATTAGAGCGGGGTTTGGGGGTATACTATACCATAAGTATACTGAGGAGCTGCGGGCAGCAACGTACTCTAATCATTAAGGCCCCATACGTTAGCTGTCTTGGCACTGACTAGATGTTCTGAAGTAGTAGGCCTAGCATCTTGACATTTACTTTGACCGTTTTCTTGGCTTTGCCCTGCTCTCCTGCGATCCAACAGTGGAACTACACATTGGAGCTTAGAGTAAGAGTTTGGCACATAGGTCTCAAAACCCACCAGGTCCCTAACCCTTAAACCCCAAAACCTAGAACTTTGGGTGCGCGTTTTCTTGAAAGCGTTTGCAGTCTCCGTGACGACTGTAGCAGTCTAACACCGTGCCATCTCATGTCACCCTGAACCTCTGACCCCTAGGCTTAGGGAAATAGGGGTTTAGGGTTTAGGGAAATAGACTTAGAAGACCCGTCCAATACAACAAAGGCAAGTTTTCATAATGAGCTGAGGAGTTGGTAATCAGATTGCCCTGCCGTCCCTGTACGTAGTATGCTGTAATGCATCCCCAAAGCTCTTGGGCTGGACCTTAACCCCCCAGTTAGTTGTGAACTGGATCTTTAACTTAAGCTGTCCCCAACCCCGAACCCTAAACCCAAACCCACAACCCTCCACCTCAAGCCTTCAACCCCAGTTGGGTTTGGCGCGGTAGGTTCCCGAAGGAATAGATATAGTGTAGGGGCCAATAATGACCCAAAAGGGGGGATATTTTTGTTTCCAATTATCCCTAAACCCTAAACCCTGATTATTCCTATAATAAAGACAACCAGGGGATAACCAGTTTATGATGCTTATCCCCACTGTTAGACCCCAATTCGTTTTCCATCGTTGCTTTCGAGGTTCCTGCGAGCTACGCTGCGAGTGCCCCTCGGGGCTTACGTAGAGGTGCCCCACGATTTTTAGGGCTTGGGGTGTGGGTTTCGCGTACTCGACGTTGGGATCGTCAGTTTTTCGCACCTTGCTGTATAGCTATAGAATCTGCTAAACCAAGCCAGATAATGTCTTATATTCCCTGCTGGCTCGGGTTGCAAAGCTTCATGACACAAGGCGGCATTACTGTTAGCTTTTCGGTGTGTATGTATCCCTTAAGAATAGTGGTCTGCGTATACTGGGGTTCGAGTCTTGGTGATACTCGTCACAACAATCCTGCAAACAAGAGAAGCCTTGACCCCCAAACAGGCAAAACCCTCACCCCCATATGCCTATGAGCTCTAAAACCTGTGGCCCGCGCTCCCCATAAACTAAAAACCCCAAACCGCAAGCAGTAGAATTTCGTCGACCCTGAAACCTTTTATCTTCACAGGGGAAGAGTCCGGCTATACATTTCTCTAAGCCCAAAATGCGAATCCTAAACCCGAAACCCTAAGCCCTAAACCCTACGACCGGCGTCACCAGCACGCAGCACGGGGAGCGAAGGCCTTCGCCCGAGGAACCCATGAGCGTGCCAAAGCCTAGAAGCCTGAATAATATTGGGGGGGGGGGGGGGGGTTTAATCATT